CAGGTATGTCCCAAGCGACATGTTTTCTTCGCTTTCATCTGGTCCTATGCCAACTTAATTAAACGACACTGGTCTTACTTAACCTTTGAGACTAATACTGGGCCTCGCGCAGATTCGACCGCGGAAGACCGCCCGAACATGCTGAAACGCCTCCTCAGGAAGGCGTCTTCCTGATCATACGAACCCTCCCATGTAGACCAGGGGTGAAGGATGGGCGTCAAGGGGCAGGACGGGGTGGTAGAGTTGCTGGCGGCTCGTGCGGCGGTCTTTGGCCTTGGCGGCACCGGGCCAGCTCCCGATGGGCCAAGAGGGGGCACGGACGACGGAATCGCCTCGTTGGTTCCGGGCGGCATCAGCCCCCCGGGGAGGGACCCGGCGGGAGCTCCGCGCACCAGTCCGGCGAAGAAGGGGGTAGTACCGCCGTGCCCGTGTGGGTGGTGTCTTCTCTCACCCATCCTCCCCCCCCTCCTCCTCTCTTTTTGATCATCCCCTCCTGTGAGGAGGTCATGGATCTCTCTTTCACTTGCGTTTGCCCTTACACACTTTTGGCTCCGCCCACCAGTGTCTTCGTCCCAGCTCATGTTGCATGTGCTTTGTTTTCTCATCAGCAAGCTTCTCGTTGTGTAGTCATTCGGCAACTTTGCTAATAATGGCTGGTCGTTCTCGGTTTTCCTGCGTCTTTTCATATCCTAGATTAATACGAACCAATCCAAGAGCAGACCTGACTCGCCGAGCGTTTCCATATTATTATTTTCCAGTCTGCCCCCAGCAGATGGCCTTCGGGGTCGCGACCCGTACAAATCGCAATCCTACGGAGGATGCAAAAGAGTGTCATGGTGACATGGAAGGAACCCGATTTTCCGGGACTGGGTCCCCGGCCTGATCTCGATCCGGATCTATCACCGGATTTATGTATCGCGGCCTCGTCGAGAAGAAAAAGGCGGGCTGACGCGACTATCAGCTAAGGGCAGGCTAGGCGACGGCAAGGTTTGCGGACAATTCGTTATCCGTGACGAGGCCGCAACAGCCGCCCCCCGACCACCGCATGCCCGCCTCAATTTCCAGCCCTTGAAGGGGACAGCGAGCGTGCGCGTTCTAGCCTTTTAGCTGCATGCCAGCCCAGCGATCGGCCCATCTGGCAATCGAGGAGAGGGGGGCCGGGAGGCCCAAGTGACCGGGCTGTGGGCTCGACGTTTTGGTCGGAGGATGCACGCACCTTAGCGACTACGCAGTTGTCCACTCCGAAAGAGCTTTCCGTCAGGGTTGGGGGGGTTGGCTGAGGGAGTGCATCGTGTGCGACAGTGGATCGTGACCAGGGAAGGGCAGTATACCTTGCCAAGCTGGATTGTGCGTCGTGCACCATGACGAATCGTCCATGCAACACGTCGCCTTTGCCAGGGTTTGGACGCAACATGTACTTTTGATTCGCAGAACAGGGGCCAACGAAGCGCAAACTGTTCGTTGTACGTGGGGTGGCAGTGGCCGCGGCAGCGGTAGCATGCCTGCATACCAAACGGTTACTGATGTGGCGCTTAAGAGGCAGACATTTAACGGCGATAAATCGGCCGCACCTCATACCTTGGGCAGGAGACCACCAAAGTGCGAGTGAATTTGATGTGAACAGCACTCTATTAGTGGTCGTCGCTTCAGTCGTGGGGTTCAGGGTTTCGATAACTCTACCACAATATACCTCCCATCATGTCGTTCCGGTGGTAGGGACAAGTACCCCCTCCCGTCTGAGCACATTGACGCCGGTGACTTAAGGTTTCCTTCTTGATGCCCGCCACTTGATGCAGGCAGTGTTGGAGGCAAGGCATGGGAATGACAGTGCATTCATTTGCATCTCCACGATCCCAACATGCCACCCTGCACACTCTTCGAGATACCCATCCCAGTTTCCGGGTCATCCACTGGCGCGCTGAAGAACCCACGGACCCTGTCCCCTCAGTAAACGGCGAGCTAGGTAAGCTTGGTAAGGTAGGGGAAGGGGGAGGACAAGGGATGAATGGACCTACCTTGCCTGCCAAGGTGGCATTGGATCTGTAGCCAGCTCAGTCCGTCGCCTTACCCCAATTGTAGAGTAGTACACATTTCTTCTCCCGCATATTCTGATCATCACGAGGACCTGACCGGGTCAACACAAAAAAAAAGCCGAGCGGGGACGCGCTGTGTCTGCTTCACCTTCACAACAGTGCCCACCCCGGAAGCAGCAAGGGGATCGTCCCCACGAAGAGCCATGATGGCCTCTGACCCAAGCCGTAAGACGGAAGCGACCCGGCGAGGCAGTACTTTTCTGTCACTTTTCGCCTTACTCCGGCGGCCCCCGCCCCCCCCCCCCTCTCCCTACTCTCGAACCGGCTGAAGATGGCATGGTATAAAAACGCCATGAGCACATTGCCCCTCCCCTGCATCTTCATCATCGACCGCGCTGAACTGGGGGGCTGGCTGAGATCAACCCCCCCGGTCGTATGATCACCCCGCCGATGGATCTCGGGCGCACCGTCGTGAATCGCAAGGCATCATTTCGCACACCTGACATCACCAGATGCGTCTTTCGCCCATGCTGCAATACCGCATGCTCTTGTCTCGGCAGATCTCTTTGTTCCCCAGATACTGCAGCTGCCGGGCTGTTGTCTTGATGCAGTTTTTTTTTTCGCCCAGCACAGAAGGCTGCGACATCGCACACGATATCACGCCCTTCACTTGCCTCCTACGGGAAGAAACATGCTGTGCTCTGGTCAAGCGTTCGCTGCCATGTGGGTGGCAGCCGCCCCTGGGGTCGTGCATGCTTACATGTACATCGGCCTGTTTCCAAGTCATCCACCACACATGCTCGCTCAGCAGAGGGAGGGGGGAAGAGAGATTTGGGGGACCAGCGCCTGACGACACACTGGCACACTGGTAGGTAAGGCACGCGCGTGTGCCAGCGGAACCGTGGTTCTGGAACCGATGACCCTCCCTGGTTCCAAGTTTGACCAACTAACTCCCTTTCCCAAGGCCCCTCCCCCTTGAAAAATAAAACAAAACGAGACAGTCCATGGCTGGGATCTAGCTCACCGGTTGAGGCACTTTATTCGCAAGCTGAGATGGATTAGGCCGTGACCATCATCGCCGAGCGGGCAGGGCGGGTCCCCGACGAAGATTTGTCGGTCTTGCTTGCTTCTTCTTCATACTCCTTGTTGCAATGACAGATGAGATAACGCATTTCGTCTTTTGTCTCCACTGCCGTCAGATCTGGAATATGACAGACTTTCCAGAGTCGACCAACAGAAATGCTGGGTTTCCGCATCTGTGCACCGCACCCCTCTTCCACCCCTCCCCCCCCCCTCCCCCGTTTCTCTCCCAGGTGCCAGGAGCTCTCAGGAGCTCTCAAGAGCTATACGAACCATGGCCGCTGACCCCTCTTTCATCGGTTGGCGCAGTTTGCAGAAGAAAGGAACAGAGGAGTTTCTCCTCTTCATTCGTTAGAATTACAAGTCATACCCTATGCCCCGCCCCGGTGTTTGCTCCTGAAATTCATTCCATCGTACATGAGGTCCAAGCAGGTCTTGGCTCGTTCCGTCATTACAATGCCGTACCCAGCTGCCGTCCATCAGCTCGACACTGGTCGTCCAGCCCAGTGTCGCGCCGTAGGCCCATGATATGGTGCTGCGCTCATACGTCCTGAGCTGCCCTCTTCGCCTTGTCGTTGTGATTTTCCCCGTTTCGTTGAACGTCACAATCACTGCGCCGTCCATCATATGTCGCGATGCCCCTGATTTGGTCCGCCTCTAAAAACGAGTGATTCGCCTGTTCGTACTTGGATCGCTGACCCCGATTGACCGTTTGCCATCAACGCCAGTCCTGCACTGCATCTGCATGAGATTAGCGACATGCTGCTTTGCGTCGGGGCGGTGAGTGGCCCCTACTTCACTTGCGTCCAGATTGTGGCCGGTCTTCACTAGCCGCAGGGGGTGCCGCAGTAGCCGCACTCTTTACCGGGCAGCACCCACACCTCCTTGCCAGAATCGCGGCAGGTAGGGCATCGAATACCAGGAAGGTATTGCTGCGACTATCATCAGCTCGGCATTCTCAACACGAATCGGGATCTTTCAGAACACTGAGCCAATGGCGGAGGGTGACTGACAGGATGCGGCACGCTCGTAGGAGGCTTCTGCTGGCACAAGGTTGACGCCTTGACGTGTTGATGCTGTGCGACGTATGCCATCTTGCCGTAAGGGTTCGGGATGGGAGGCCGATGGAGGAGAGTCGAGAAGCTAAACCAAGAAGCGAATGATACCACGAAGGGAGTGTTGAGGATTCCAGCAGTTGTAGTTCCAAAGAGGCTGGTGGGTTTTGCGTCTGTTGTGGAGAGCTGGAGATGAAGGTAGATGATGAGAATGAGGATATGAAGCAGTCGTGATGACGAGGTGCCACCATGTATATATATATACTTTCCTTTGTCTGGGGGAGTAGTGTGGTGAAAGTGTTCGACAGGCAAGGACCAGGCACCCAAGCGCGGGATGGAGAACCTCATCGATCGAGCCGGCGGCGGGAAGCGGAGGGACGAGCAAAAGCGATGCAGGCCCTGTGGCAAGGAGGTGAGCGAACGGTCAAGCCGCTGTTCCACGTCCCAGGAAAAGTACTGACGGGTGGTGCCCTAGTGGAAAACAAGCTACAAAGTAAACGGCACGCGCATCTGATAGTCGGCGAGTAGCCGGCCGAAGCGGTGGCAGCATTTCTTGTCGCTTGTCCGCATGAGTATCAGAGCAGCAGGGTCGAACAGATAGCATGGCAAACCCCTCCCTAGGTATATTGCGTGTTTGTACGCATGGCCGTACGCTTGAAAACCGGGGGTACGGACCGTTCTACCATACGGTATGGGGTGAAGCCAGTGAAGATGGCGTGGAAGGTTCAACTTCCTGTCCAGTATGGAAGCCCGTCTCCCTGTTCCTCATTTCACCTGACCAGCAGAGCAGCATGCAAATGTTGCGGGGAGCAGAATCTCCCAAGGCGGCGGTGGGTGGAACCTTGCAGTTTTGCCTGGTTCTAAGCAACGACGCCAATGCAGGCTAGGATGGGGCTCGTTTGCTGATTACAAAAGAATTAAACCCACCGATTGTGACGAAGAAGTAGTGGGTTCGATTACCAGGAGCCAGGAGCCCAGGCTTCGTTGGGGCGCGAAATTCACATCCAGCCAATCGAGCCACTCAAGCTGCGACGGGGTCCTCGCCGGGCCCTCAGGCCAAGAGTGCGGGCTTGGAAAGGTGGGCAAGTGAGACAGCCAGACCGAGCTTGACTTTGCGTACCGCAGGAAAGGTGGGTGGCTTCTCTCATCAGCAAACTGACAAGTCACTTGAGCCGTCCACGCACACCACGTCGTTTGGCACATTGAGATTCCCCATTTAGCGTCGTGTGTGTGGCTGACAAGGTTCGTAAGGTTGGCAACATGGAACTTCCACAGCCCAAAACTCTTTGAGCGAACGCTATGACATAGCCGTTCTACAGTCGCCATTGGACGTTCAGCGAGCCGATGGAAGTACAGCGTCACCCGGGGGGGGTTCCTAGAGAAAAGAGTCCTGGGCGGAAGACGGGGCTGCCAAGGGTCCAAGGCCCGGGGTCCAGGATTCCGTTGGTAAGGGTACCATACCGCTGTTGTGCTGCTTGGTGGCTCGGAGGGGGAAACCATCCGATCTGCCCCGGGATTCGTTCATCGACCCAGGGACAGTCACCATGGCTGCGTCGCGACGCTGCGGAGAATTCCATGAATGTGAGGGATGGCGCCCCCCCCTCGCTCCCTCCACCCCGATGCTGGAGTATATGGTACATAGTATTGCTAGTGGCTGATGGGTTGGT